ACCAATTACTAAATGGGCAAGGGAACTAAAGAGAGACTTCTCAGATAAAGAAATAAAAATGGCAAAGAAACACATGAAGAAATGTTCACCATCCCTGGTTGTGAAGGAAATGCAAATAAAGACAACCCTGAGATACCACCTTACCCCAGTCAGAATAGCCCACATCCTCAAGTCAGCCAATGATAAATGCTGGAGGGGATGCGGAGAAAGAGGAACTCTATTACACTGCTGGTGGGAATGTACACTTATACAACCACTTTGGAAAGCAGTCTGGAGGGTCCTCAGAAAGCTAAATATTGACCTTCCTTATGACCCAGTCATACCACTTCTAGGCATCTATCCTGAACAACAGGAACAGGTATACAAGAACACATGCACCTCCATTTTTATTGCAGCACTGTTCACAATAGCTAGGATATGGAAACAACCCAGATGCCCCACCACAGATGAATGGATTCAAAAATTGTGGTATATTATTATACCACAATTATATATTATGGAATATTATGCAGCCATTAGAAATGACAAAATAATGGCATTTGCAGGGAAATGGATGGAGCTAGAAGAAATCATGTTGAGCAAGGTAAGCCAAGAACAAAGAGACAAATTGTACAACATGGTCTTCCTGATAAGTGGATGTTAAATCCAAAATGTTAGGTGATACGACAAAATTAACCGGACTTAAGAAACAAAGAACTTCCACTCATCTGGTTGAACCACTACTAAATAACCCCATGCTGCTGATCACATGTATGGTGTATATGTGTACACCGTTATATGTTATAGACCGTGATAGACAATTTGCTCCAGGAAAGTCAGAATGAGTTTGTGACTTTAAATGAGCATACTTTCCCACAATACTGTGAAATTTGGAAAATTATGTAATCACTTAATCACAATTAAAAAAAATCAGAAAACTAGAAGTGGCGCTATGGCTCAAGTGGTAGAGCATGAGCCTTGAGCTGAATTGCTCAGGGACAGCTCCCAGGCCTAGAGCTCAAGCCCCACGACTGACAAAACAAAAAAAAGAGAGAGAGAGATATCTTTCATGTGATTGTTTCTAACGTATTTATAAGATTATGTCTTTGTTGCTTTCTATGTCCCTCCCCCATGGTATAACCCCTGCTTTCACTATATGATGTTGGTATATGTGGAGGGGAAAAACAAATCCTTAAAACAGAGATACAGGAGGTCCCATTGCAACAATGAGATGTATAAGTCGTTATGTCAAAAAAAGAACTTTACAACTTTGGTGGGGGGGACAGGGGGCGGAGGTGAAGGGATGGGAAGGGTAAACAAAGGAGGAGGCTACAATGCTTGATAAGAAATGTACTCATTATCTTGCCCATGTAATTGTAACCCCTCTGTACAGTATTTTCACAATAAGAAAATACGTTTATAAAAAAATAAAGAAAAGAATAATCGTAATATACAGGTCTTTTAGAATTTCCCTGTTCTATCAGTGATCATGTCTATATAATGAAATCTCAATAAAACTGCCAGAAGCCAGGAAAAAAAAATTAAATTAGGAGAAACTAATTTACCATGCCTAACAACCTAGAGGCAGGGAAATACCTGTTTTAGCCCTCTATAGCCATCTTGTCCAGGAAGAAGGAAAAACTGAGAAACACTTGTAAAGTTTACAGTTAAAAAGATGAAAAGACCTAATCACCAGACTCACCCTACATCTTGCCATATCACTGTACTTTCTGTTTTTTTATTAATAAGTGTTTTTTATTTTGAAAATACCGTATAGAGGGGTTACAATTACATAAGCAAGGTAATGAGCCTCCTCCCAAAGTTGTAAAGTTCATTTTTCAACATAACGTCTTGTACATCTCATTGTTGCAATGTGTCCACCTGTATCCCTATTTAAACAATTTGTTTGTTCCCTTCTGCTCCACAAAATGTAACAACATCAAATACAGTGAAAACAGGGGTTATATCGTGGGGGAGAGACATAAAAAGCAACAAAGAAATCATCTTATAAATATGTTAGAAACAATGGCAAGAGAGAAAAACCATTTGAGTCCTTATCTTGGGGTTCATTTCGCCTAACAAGTTTCAATAATTCAAAACTAACTATTTTCTAAAAATATTGAGTGAAAAATTTTAAAAGTAAGCAATTTTAAACTGTATGCATGCATGCATGTATTTATGAATTTATATGTGTGAACCTGAAGCCTTGAACTTGCCTGGCAAGAGCTCTACCACTTGAGCAATACCTCCAGCAGCAATTCATAAATTTCAAATTGCTCACTGTTCCATGCAGTGTGATTACACTTTGTCCAATGTATCCCCATTGTATAAGCTCAACCCTTAGTAGCTACCTTCTTTAGCATATCATTTATCACAGGATCACAGCAATTGTATACATATAATCTTCATTATAGTTAATAATGGCCTCAAAGGACAAAAGCAGTTATGCTGACAGTTCAAATATGGAAGATATCCCACAAAGTGCTTCCTCTAAATAACAAGGTGGAAATACAACAGAATATTTTAAAAACAGAAGGAGAGATACCATATTTATGTAACTTTTATTGAACTTCCATCTTATTGTTGGTTATTGTTATTAATCTCTTACTGTGCTTAATTTAAACATTTAGGTTTATTGGAGATACATATGTAGAGGAAAAATGGAAATAATATTCAATACTGTGATAGGGCTGGTCAACCCTTACTGTCTTAGAGTTTACTCCTAGCTTCTGCAGCTCCATTTTGCTTTTTGACTCCATCTTAAAGATAGGACTGTGCTAGTTCCTTAATGTTTGGCATTTAAAGATGTATGTAGCCACTGTTCTGTTTGTGTTCCTAGGAAATGACACAGAGATAATTATAGAAGCTGGTCATGCTGCCCTCCTCAATGCCTGCTTACAGCATTGTCTTATAACACTTCTGTAACTTTTTGCTTGACTTGCACCTACAGATAAGAACTGTTATGGACTTTCCATCCCTGAGCAAACAAGGAGGTGGGTTTTCTGCTTTAGAAGGGGCGATGAAACTAGGCTTGAGACTACACTTTTGGGCACCTGACTGCTCAGTATAGTCCTAGCAGGTAATAAAGACTTTCTGTTGGCTGTACTCTATATGTCCATGTGGTCTCTCCTGGTGGTCTCCACAACAATACTATCGTTTCAAACATCAACTAGGGTTTATAATGTGTCTCATGTAGGTAAGTTTTGGGGCAGAGAAACTATAGTACTAAAGGACTATGTTCAGCTTTTCTTTTCATTCAGTATATCATGTCTAATTTTCAAGAAAAACAAATTCAAGGTACATCAAAATTTAAGAAAATAAAAAGGCACAATTAAGAAAGCATCAAAACCAGATTCAGCAGGAATGTTGGAATTATCAATGTAAGGACTTAAAACAATGAATAATATATTAATGTAGTAAGGCCTCTAATAGATAAAGTAGACAATTTGAAAAAACAGATGGACAAGTTAAACAAGAGATGGAAACCCTAAGAGAAAAGCTAAAAGAAATGCTATATATCAAAAACACCGTAATAGAGATGAAGAATGCCACTAGTGAGCTAAAGAATCTGTCCACTTGCACACAGAAAATAGGAACTTATATAACTGAAAAAGAGAGCAAAGAGTGAAAGAAATCACAACAAAAAATGAAGATTGGAGAACAATTATAAAAAGTGTAGGTTATGCATAGTGCAAAAGAAAGAAAAAATAATGAATGAGAATCACCTAAGTCAATATTAAACAGCAAACCAAGATCAAGAAAGCCCAGACGATAAATTCATAAATTAAAAAATATACCTAGGCTATTATTTTCAAACTATAAAATGTTAAAAGATAAAGAAATAGTTTTGGAAGAAGTCAAAGCACTATAGCTGTAAGACTCCTACCATAACAAAATAAGAATTGTATCTCACTTCGTAGAAATCATGTGTTAAGTAAGAGGTAAGTATATGGAAGAGTTTTACACTTACCTATCCATTTTGCTATGAACCTAAAATTGATCTTTAAGAAAACTCAATAAGATGCTATGAACATAATAGATAATACTTAACTAGTTTAGATTCATCTCCCTATTATAAAATAATTGAGATTTTATTATCACATTAATCAAGATCAGCCAAAACACCTTACCTTCATGTGCTTATATTGATATGACAAATAGTGACAATAAGCAAAGAGAACTACTGTATATCACTTGGTGAATAGTGATGAGCACTAAAAGCAGTATTAACTATTTACTAATGTTACAGGGCCATTTAAATGAGGAAGATCCCTTTTAAAGAGACAGATGCATAGGAAAGTAAAGAAATAATCCCAGAGTGTAAAACAAATGCAAAAACTTTAAGATGAGAAATTCCTGGAGTGTTCAAATAAAAATAAAGCAATTAGTACACCTGCAACAAGTGAAGGAGAATGAGAGTAAAAACAAAAGGTCAGGTCCTGCAAAGAAATACAAGTATAGCTTTTATTTTAAGTGAAATGGAGAGCCATAAAAGGGCATTGAGTAACATCAGTAGTGGGAGAGACAGTAGATGAGAGAAAAATTATGATGGTCCATGATTTTCATTCTGTGCCATATTTACTCCAAAATGTGGAGCATGGATGTACCAATTAAGAAATATTTAAAATATTGTTTAAAATGATGGTATGTTTATTAATTAGTATGCAGCAACACTGATTAAAACCAACATGTAATTATGAAAACATCATTAAAGTATAATAATAGACCAAATATCAAGAGACTAAGAAGTAAACGTAGCAGCCAATCAGAAGACAATAATAAAAATGATTTAATAAATCAGACAAAAATATTCACAGCTCTATGAATCTTGCTTCAATTGCTTTCATTTGTCTAATATCACAAAATAAATACATACAAAAACATTTGCAGAAGAAGGAATCATGTTCATAACCCTGGTTCATTTCCCAAAGCAAAGGACTCAAAACAAGAAAACCAAATTGAAAGGAAAAAAGCCACAAATCAAAGCACCTTTTAGCAAATGTTAAATCAAGTAAACGCACCTTGTGTTGTGTTCTTGATGCTGCCAAGTCTGAAATCTGGAGGACCACCCACACATAAGATGTGTCCAAACCAATTCTCTAATGAGTCAGATCTGCCTTCACTCCTGGCAAATACAATTCTAAATATCAAAAATAATATATTTTAATTGCTTGCTCGACAAGAAATGTATTCATTACCTTACTCATGTAACTGTAACCCCACTGTACAGCATCTTTACAATAAGATAAAATTATATATATATATTTTTTTTTTTAATTACTTTTCCTACTGGAATGGGAAATAAGAATATAGGAAAATATTAAATGAACTCCAGTTCCAAAACTGTTTGCAAAATGGACTCAGTTCAAAGGCTATTAGTTTGGTAACTCTATTATCTTTTTGATTCAAAAATACATCCGAATATACATGGAAGAAATATATAAGTATATTTGAAAAGTAATTCATTTTATGTCTCCTTTTCACAAGGTCCTATTCCAAGATAAGGGCTCTGAGAAGTTCTCTACAGGAACTGTACTGTATTGCCCATGTTCCTGTTAAGGAGTAGAGTTATTTCCCCATTCTGGATCAAGATGGAATGTAGAGAGGCTAATTTCAATTTGTTTTTTATTACTTCAATTTGTACAGGGTTGATTTACCAAAAGAATGCATTTAATCAAAAATAAAATACTTAGAAAAAAAGTTAAGAGCAAAATTTCATTTTAATTAGGAGTGTCTTACATGTAACAGCCAAAACAAAAGCTAGAAAAAGAAAAAATAAACATCTGAACAAATCTTCCATTTCTTAAAGACCATAATAAGAGAAAATATTTTCAAATCACAGGTATAATAAAGGTCCATTGGCCAGTAGGCCTTATAGTGCCTCAACTCTGACCATCTTTACCTATTTTATGTGCTAGTCTCTGAACTCTTTCTATTTTCTAATGGCATAATCCTATTGACAACTTAATAGCATTACAAGGCTTGTTCACCTACTTCAATGTTATCATAACTGCCGCCTAATCTACCTTGACTTCATAGGCATTCTTTAAGACCCTGTGTCAATTATCTACTTTATACTTTACTTGTACAATTTACCTACAGTTGTCAGACAATCTGTATCTGATTGACATATCACTTCCTTACTGAAGACTGTAGATGCCTAGAAGAATAATCATTTTTATAGTAAAATATTCATTGTTAAAATATGGAAGTACTGTCTGATTTTTGTCCTTAGTTTGGTTCTAAAATCTTTGCAGCAATCTTGTTTCATATGTATGGCTAGAAAAGAGAGGCCTGGCGCTGGTGGCTCACGCCTGTAATCCTGGTTACTCAGGAGGGCTGTGATCTGAAGAGCACAGTTCAAAGCCAGCCCCAGCAGGAAAGTCTGTGAGACACTTATTGCCAATAAACAATCAGAAAATCGGAAGTGGCACTGTGGCTCAAGTGGTAGAGTGCAAGCCTTGAGCTGAAGAGCCCGGAGTTCAAGCCCCACGATCAACAAAAAAAAAAAAAGAAAGAAAAGAGAACCTTTAGAATGTTAGATGTAAATAATAATATTTTTATGCTAACTCCAATTCATAAGAGATGACAGAGATGCAGAAGTGAGTAAAACAAAGAAGCAGAGGTCAGAAGCAAAGTCAGATAGTAATGGTCACTATGACATGTAATACCCTGATGAGCAGTGAAAAGCACTGCTCACATGTCCACTTCTTTGCAATGCAGCCATGAGCAATACAAAAACAAGAGAATTTGGCTCTGTTCTACAAAAACATTAGTTATAAACAATAAAAGTGAAATTTCATAGACTTGATAATTTCACAAAATTATCCTTTCGATATTTTTAAGCCATTTAATACTGTAAGAATCACTCAAAGCACTCATGGCATCAGAAACAGCAAAGTCAACTATTGTCAATGGCTTTGATATACTTTATTTATACTCTTCCATTATTAGGTTTCATCCCTGTCCTAAATAACCAGAATTTGTCAATTTATTTTAATCTCAGTTGTCATGATTGAATCAATGTTCATAACTAGTGCCTTCTCATACAAATGATTTTTGTACATTTGCATTTAATTTTTTATTAGTTTTAATAAATTATTTAGAGTCAATTTCATATTCTAGAATTCTATAGTATAATATCAGTTATCACACACACACACACACACACACACACACACACACACACACACACACACACACACATACACCATGGCTTTTGTATTCATATCACACAGTCTTAGAGTTGAGTAGACATGAGGTAGACTTCCTTTTATACATGAGTGGTTTTCTGCTGCTCCCTACTAGAAACAAAAAAAACCCATGGTAATGATTTTTAAGACTCCCAAACATTGCTTTGTTGTCTTTCTGCATCTGGTAATAAAGAAAAGTCTGAAACCAGTCCATTTTTTACTTCTTGATATTATCTCCCTTTTCTTTTCATTCAATATGATTGTGTCTTTATCATTATAATTTAAAATTTTCTGATTTTTTTGCTTCTTTAAACATCATATGTTACATAAAAAGATTTTCTTTTCATTCATGAGTCTTTTCAGCTTAAGAAGAATTTTATTTCCTATTATATATTTGCTTATTACTTTTCTTTCAGATTTTCTGTTCTATTCTGGCCCATCTTTAGAACTTTAAATAGTGTATTGTATAGTCTGAACGGTACTGAGGTTTAAACTCAGAGCTTCATTATGGCTAAAAAGTTTCTTGAAAGCCAGGTGCTGGTGGCTTATGCCTGTAATCCTAGCTACTCAGGGGGCTGAGACTTGAGGATCATGGTTCAAAGTCAGCACAGGCAGGAAAGCTGAAGATACTCTTAATTCAAATTAGCCACCAGAAAACCTGGATGTGGGGCTGTGGCTCAAAGTGGTAGAATGCCAGCTAGGACAACACCCAGGCCATGAGTTCAAGCTCCATGACTAACCAAAAAGAAATATTTTCTTGAAAGCCTCAAGTATTATTTAAAAATATCTATCACTGTCATTTCAGTCATGGTGAAAGGATATTTTAAATTATATTCTTTCCTTTTTCTTGTTGATGGTACTGGGTTTGAACTCAGGTACCTGAGCTTGCTAAGTAAATGTTCTACCACTAAAGACACATCCCTTTCTTTGTTTTCTAATTGTTCTTTGGATGTGGTCTCACAGTTTTACCTGGAGTTGGCCTCAGGCTTCAATCCTCCTACCTATACCTCCTGAATAGTTGAGATTATTGATATATACTACTAAGCCTGATTTAATTATTTAAATAGGGTCTCACTAATTTTTTTCTATGTTGGCTCAAACATGGTCTTTCTAATTATCTTACCCAAGTAGCTAGGTGATGCCTGCTTAAGAGAATTATTTTCTCACTCTATGTTCTATATTTTAAGACCTTCACAGTTAGAGAAAATCTACTGATACAAAAAAATGTGAACAAATACTAAAGGAAATCTGGCTTAATTTCATGCTTCTTCATGAAGCAATTTCTCGACTGCAGCAATGCTTCTCAATAGGAGCTTTGTGGCCCTGAAGTGAGAGAAAAAAATCTTCATCACCTTTATCACCCGTTATTTAGAATCCTTGGGCTTCAGAGTTCTCAAATCCAAGAACAGTTCTTATAAAGACATTATTTTAATTTTAAAACATTCTCACAGATTCCAAGTAACTCAGAATTACCACTCAATCATAAGCTGGAGCACTGAGATAACATTCATGGCCTCAGATCCCACCTTGATATCCAACTTCCCAAAAGAAGAAACAAGTGGATGAAATTCCTTGGTCCAGAGACCAAGCAGTATTTCTGCTGGATTAAAATCTAGGCTCTGGAAAAAGGACTTGGGAACAGAGTACTAAGTACTAGTATTCATTTTGGCTTCCTATCTAAAAATACATCCAACTTGTTAGTAACAAAGCTGATGATGCAAACTCTGTTTACAAACTCAAGACAGAAAGAAAATACCTATTTTTTTACCCATGAAGAGTAAAACATAGGGAAAGACTCTTACTTTTAAAGAAATAAAAGGAAAACAAGGAGTCTTAATTCAGCATCATTTATAATCCAAATGTTTCCTTTTTCTAAGGGATAGCCATATACCTCTGAAAGCAGTATATTACATGAAAAAGTTTAGTCATCACTGGATTTGTAATTACTGTTTCCAATCCTTTCAGACTATACACACACACACATACTTGAGAAAAATACTAGTTGATATCGGTATAAGGAACTGGGGAATACAAGACAGAAAAAAGCTGGGAACATAGGACAGGTATAAAGTGAGTTATCCCTGGAGTGACCAAAAATGCCTACAATGTCCCTTTTGTGGTTGTCTGCCCATTTCTTATGACTGTCTGCAGTTGTAGAGGATAAAAGGAGATGACCATTTCTAACTGGTTTCCAAAGCATGTAGAGTATTAAACCATGACCTTAACCACACTTTTAGGCATTTTCTTATTTAACAGATCATGAATATTACTTATATCTCATGCAGCTTATTAAAAACCTGGAAATGAGCAATCATAGCATGATTTGAATTAAACCCTAACTGGAGTCCTAAAGTTCTTTCAAACTCTTTTCATAAGCCTTGGATTTTTTTTGTATGTTCACTTCTTCTATTATATTTACTCTGTCTTCAAATCCAGAAACTCTGCCTGCATTCCATATTAATATTATTCTGCTTGTGAAGCTCTCTACATTGTTAACTCATCTCTTGGCCCTCAGTCTGACCATTTATTTTCAGGATTTCTATCTCCAGTGCTGTTTGGAACATGGGGATAAGGGAACCCTATACATGGGTTGGTGGGAATGGAAACCAGTGCAACCACTACAGAAGGCAGTTTTCAGAATTCTCAGAAAACTAAACACAGAACTACCCTCTGATCCTGCAATGCTGCTCTTAGGTACTTATCCAAAAGATCACAACTCCGGGTACAGTAAAGATACTTCCATAATCATGTTCATTGCTGTACTATTCACCATAGCCAAGAAACAGCCCAGCTGTTCTATAATGGACAAATGGATTGAAAATGTAGTGTGTGTGTATATGTGTATGTGTGTGTGTAATAGAGACACACACAGAAACAGAGACAGAGATAGAGACAAAGTATGTATGTGTATATGTGTGCAAATTTTAGTTATTTATCAGAAAAAATAATATTATATCATCTGTAGGGTAATGGATGGGCCTGGAAAATATTGTGCTAAGACTCAGGCAGACAAAGAAGACATGTTTTTCTTCATATGTGGAAGCTAGATTTAAATTATAAAAATATATATGTGAAAACATATACAGGGTCATATGTATATATACACAAAGATAATAACTAAACTATGGTCTACACAGGGGAGAATTCCAATGATGTAACTCCTTTGAATAACAGTTTATCATAATGAATATCAGAAAACTGGAAGATATGTTGTTGGGGGAGAGGGGGAGGGGAGACACACAGAGGAAAGATGGGAAAATGCAGTCATAATAGTAAATGTATACATGTGAAAATGGAAAGAGGCAACTGGAAGGTGAGGTTGGGAGAGATGGAAAAGACAGATAGACAATGATCAAGATGCACTGTACTCTAACTGACATGTTGAAGTAAAACCTTTTTGTACAACTACTTTAAAAAAATCCCTAATTAGCTTAATCACTGCCAATAGGGAATGTCCTAAAAGTATTCCTAGAGAAAAAAAGAACTAGCCTAAACCAGAGTGATCTTAAGTTCCCAACTAGAGCTACTGTCACTTAACATGTTCTTGCTTCTGAATAAATTTTGCAAATGCATTCCTTGTCTCTCTCATCAGTTCCTTGATCAGGACTCCAGACAAGAATTTGAAACAGATCTTAGCCCACCTGTAACAATATTAAGGGACAAAAAGTAGTGCCCTGGAAGACATTTTTGGCATTATCTAAGCATTATCAATTCTGGATGAGTAATAAATAGGTGGATAAAGCTTCTTCCTGATTTCTAAACAACCTAAAGATAAAATAAGAAAAAAATGGAAAAATTTAACAGTTGAATGACATGTAAAAACAAATTCAGATCCTATACACAGAAAGTTAAGGTTAAAAGCATAATCAATAATATGTTGCATCTGTGCAGATCACAATTGTAACTATATTTTCAAATCGATTAATTTCCTCTTCCTCCTTTTTAGGAAGGAAGGGCAGAGTATTGCCACATTACAGAAAAAAAACAGAAGGGCTCTTCCCCAAGTACAACTAACCCTGCCAGCTTCCCGACTCGTAGACCAAGGCAATTCTCACTATTAACAAGCTGCACAAGCTTCCTTCCTGATGATTTACACTGAACCTGGCATCAGGAAGTAAAAACAGATGTTCAGTCCTTTTGTCGTTTTAATCTGGAATGTTTGTTCTGTTGAGCCCTACAGGGTCCAAAGAGAGAAGGCATCTGAAATGGTTATCTGTGTGGGCACCTCACAGCTGACCATTAAATATGGATCCAATGAAGAAAAGGGGAAAAGGAGGAACAATGGTTTACACATTTAGAACATTTTGCTCTATGTATTGGGCCTTTTACAGTATAATGAAATCCCTCAACTTTCTGAGAAAGTTCATTGAGGTCATTGTGGCTGACATCAGTGAGATAAAGAACTCCAAGAAGAGAATTTCTCTGAGATCCTTTTTCTTAGTCATCTACATGGACAGCCAAATCTTGAGGGTTCAAGGATGTACCAAATCACAAAGAAAAGTATCCAGCTCCACCATCACTACCACACTTCTCTGCAAGATCACTAATATAGGAACAAAAATTAAGAAGGAAGAACAACAACAACAAAAATTACTCTAAAGGGAGGCCTGCAAGGGAACTACAGGACCAAGGGCCATAACTTAAGTGACAGCGCAGGGAGCGAATCCCAGGCCCCCGGGAAGGCTTAGGGGAAGTGGGCGGGGCTAACGCGTCCAGGACCCCTGACACGCTGGCAGGGCGGGACCTGCGCGTTCCTTAGCAACCACGAGTACCACGCCCACCCTCGGCGAACCTTCACGCCCGCTCCAAGCAGCGGGGTCGCCCGGAGAGAGGGTCCTCAGCGACTGATTATCTTCCCTGTTCTTTCCCTAAGCGCCAGCTTCCTCTGAGGGGTGACCCTCGCCCCCAGCCCGCCCGAGCACCGCTCTCAGGGGCGGAACGCTCCGCTCCGGGACGCTTGGGAGGTTCGCTTAAGGAGGTGCGCCCATTTTCAGTCCCGGACCCCGAGCTTTCTGGGAAAGAGAACCCCAGCCTCCTCGCCCTCGCCGGAAACACACACCTCAGCTGAGCCAAGGCGGAGGCCGACAAACTTCGTGTCCCGCGGGAAATGTTGCTGTCCACGGTCCTGTCACTCAGAGGCAGGGGCGGGACGAGTCGGCCACGGACACCCTGACTCCCGAAGGCCCGTACGGAAGGGGGCGTGGCTAGGATAGGGGGCGTGGAGGAGGCCTCAGTCCGCGCTGTGATTGGCCGATCTCTCTCCCGCCTCTGAACGGGTTCGTGGTCTGGGAGGCCTGAGGTAAACTCATCAGGAAGCTGAAGAAATTGTGTGCAAGGACGGCGATGTGTTTCCCAAAGATAAACAAAAAGTTATCGTCCCACCTAACACACACACCGTATACACACACACATAAAAGCACAGCTCAGATAAATAGCCCTACATAAAATGTGTGTCTTTGATTTAAGGAGCAAAATATGAGTAAAAAGTAAAGGAAACCAGAAAAAAGCTTTATATAACTTTTAAGAAGAGATTCACCAATTAAAGAAAGGTGATTGGTGAAAAATAAACTGTTTGGGTATATTTCTAGTACTTAGTTTTCACATCTAATCAATGAGAATGAAATATTAAGAAGCTATTATTTGGAATGAATCTGCTAGCTAAATGCTTTCTACACAATCCTTTCTTAAACCTTAAAAAAGAAAAAAAAACTTGAGTAATATTTTCCACAGCCTGTTAACAATGAAACAGATTAGAAGAGGTGACATTTATTTAAATTGTTCAACAAATCAGTGTCTCCAGCTGTTAATTGTATACTATGGTAAAGTGAGTTTTAAATTTCTTTCTGAAATTATTTCACTTTCAGTTAATTTTCCTCTTCATGAAGTATAAGTCACCTTTCTTTGGCTTCACTTATTTATCCTTATTTAAAAGCTTATAAGAAAGAAAACAATATACAAAAAAAACCCCAAGACAAGTATAAATAGACAAAGAAAGTTCCCTGGAATCCCTCAGGATATCATGGTCAGAAATTGAAGCCAAAATATAGTTTTATTTTCTGTCTTCCTAAATCGTTTTATGGTCTGCAATTTGTCTTTCAGAAATAAAGTTAGAATTAAATAACATTATACTAATACTCAACCAGGTTTTCATGGGCATGGCTGTAAAAGAATGAAACTTTTATTTACTTATTCAGCCAAAATCAAGAATTAATTTCTCTTATTAGATTCAGTAGTACTAAGAAACAACAAAAAGATCTCTGTACACATGCTTTGGAATTCAATTTAAATCCTGCCATATTTTGGTAAAATTGTTGCAATTGAAGAAACATTCCAATTGCAAATGGTTTTGTTTTCTTATCCTACTGAATTTTAAAAAGCTTCTGAAAGTTTGCTAACTATGCTCCATAAAAAAAATTTTTTCTTCATTTGAATGAGTCACGATCCCCACTTTCCTTAATCATTTTTAGAGTATTTTGTTTTAGCCTAACAAGAAAGTTATGATTGTACATTAATACCTATAGTATATAAATAAGTACTGTAGACTTAAAGGAAAGTGATGTCTTTAGTTGAATCCTTTTTCAAATACATATTTGAGGAAGTGAAGCAAATGCATTTGTTTAAATATTCTCACATGTATATAAAATATTATATGCTTAAGTAAATGTATTCATATAAATGGGTAATTACTGAAATAAACATAGCTGTAGGTTCCTCCATAGCCCCAGATGTTTTAGGCATATATTTGTATTTCTAGAATTCTACACGTTGGTATCTGGTTGCACTTCTAGGCAAAAATACTTTATATATGGAGGAATCTGCTGTGAAGGAAAAAGGTGAGACCAGCACATGATGTGGGTCTTCCACTGAATTTCTTATTATGAACATACCCTTTTGAAATAAGTTTGTCCTAACTAGTAGTCTATATTACCAATGTGAAAACCAAGCCTCTAACAAATCAGGCCTTGGGGGACAAACTATATCCAAACTACACAACTGGACATTGTGAAGTATGTGCTATGGGGACTCAATTACATTCTTCTGAAACAGTTTCTAGCAGCAAGTCAGTTATGTCCCATGACCTTGCATTTTTTTGATATTATGATCTGTTAGAAAAAAATTTATGGCCATACTAAGGTATTTCCCAAGACTCTACTTAGACCTAGACTGCACTGGAATTGCAAACTCTGTTTCTCTGTCTGATCAAAGATCAGGTTGAGTGTTTGTTAATATTAATTCCGAGTCAGCTTATTCTAGAATGTAATCCTTGCACCTAAATCCTGATGGTTACAATGCCTCAGTTCAATGTAAGATATGTTTCTGTGTTTTCTTTGCTCTCTCTGGTCTGGAATTTGATCTTTCAGCCCTGGGAAAGCACTCATGTTTTTTAGTCATCTTTTAACTCTTCTAATAATTTATATTAATAAGCCTTCCAAAATCTTTCATAAAATTAAAAAATGCACAAAGACTGGTGAAAACCCACTTATTGTGTCTTCAAGATCTAGCAGTGTTGATGTGCTTAACTGGATCCCTTTCTCTCCTTCTCTCTTCCTTTCTCTCCATCACAAAATTGGTCCAAGAAAGAGAGTTGCCATAAACATGGGATTTATATCAAATATTTCTCTTTTCTCAGGAATCAGTTCAGTCGTGTGCAGAATCTTATCAGATAGCTAAAATATCTTTCCCTATGTACATTATCCAGTAGTTTAGGTGGAAGAGCTAATCTGACCCCAGCAGTGAATGGGCATGATGGAAAAAGTTCATATTGACATTTGAGTTTCTATTTCATTTTTTTAATAATCTTACTAAGCTTTTCTTCAAATACTATTTTATCTTCTCCACATTTATGTCCGCTATAAATCATGACAATTTTTCCTTTCCCTTTTCATTATCATGGTTGCTGTCTGGCTCCTAATCCTTCCTGAAACTGATTCAGACTGAGAGCTCTGACCCTACTTGCCACATGAAAATGAAGCTGGAGCTAGCACATTGTCCAGCCCATAGCTTTTGGGTTCTAGCTTCTGGACTGTTGCTCTGGCTTTTCTGGCGGGCCTGGCTCTTATTTCTGTGGAGGATGTCCACACACCATTCATTTATTCACCCTAATTAGTACCCATTGTAAAAAGAAACAGCCACAACCAAGACCAACTGATTGGACCTCAAGATGGGCTACACTTAGACACTTCCTCAGCTTCTGATAGCTGGTAAGACCAAGATTTATTTTAATGGCAGAGATATGCTAACCATATACCAAGAGATTTTTCTTAATTCTTGGATAGAAATAATTCATGAAGTCATTAAAGCCAAGTTTTTAATGGGAAAGTCTTCACATAAATCCAATTTCAAAAATGGACTAGAGTTATTCAGGTTACCTACTTCTTGAGTGATCTTTAGTTGTTTGTATATTTAAAAGAATGTATATATGGATAAGCTGTCAGATTCATTGACAAAGTTGTTCATAACATTCTTTTTTTTTCTGGCCGTGGAGCCTGAACTCCGGGCCTGGATGCTGTCCCTCAACTCTTCAGCTCAAGGCTAGCACTCTACCACTTGAGCCCCACAGCCCTACTTCCAGCTTTTTTCCGCTTATGTGGTGCTGAGGAATTGAACCCAGGGCCTCATGCATGCAAGGCAAGCACTCTACCACTGAGCCACCTTCCCAGCCCCAACTTTGTATTATCTTTAAGTAGTTGTACAGAAGTGCTATTTAACAAAGCAGCTTATGAATATAATGCCTCTTGATCAGTGTCTCCCCTTCACCATTCTCACCTGCCTTGGTCCTTTCCCTACTTGTCTTAATTTTGTGGTACATACCATGAGTTCTTGACTGCGTTCTCTGCCCTTCCCCTTCTTCATTCATTTCTCCTTCTCCCACCCACCCATCTTGCAACTACCCATTTCCTGGTGCTTATTTTGTTGGACTGAGTATGACATTTTCTACAAAATTAAGGTTTATAGGCACATTCTAGCTACCAAAAGTGAGGAATCCATGCAAGCTTTGTTTCTCTGGATCTGACTTACTTCACTTAATTCAATTTTTTCCAAGTCTTTCCACTTCCTTACTAATGCTACAATATCATTCTTTCTGATGAATGAGTGAAATTCCATTGTGTATATATACCACATTTTCTCAAAGCATTTGTCCATTGAGGACAAATCTTAAACTAGACTTTTGCAGGTGGTGAACCTATGGAGTTTGCCAAGGCCTTCTTTTTCTCTTTTGCTTAAAGCATAATGGTTAAAAGGAGACTCTGCATTGCCTATTCTGTTGACTAGCTCCTAGGATTTGGAGTCAATATCTCTTTTACAGATCTAATTCAATATTTCATGAATTCCCCTGGCTTGTGTCAATAATTACAATTTTACTTCCCTGCTTCTCCACATTGCCTATTTCTCTCTGCATCCATATATCTGATGTTTTGTTTTAGACACTTAGAGATGAATGAAGGTGTCATCTTCAGAACTCTGTGTCTTTTATGATTAACCCAATATTTTTTCATAATTTCTATTGGCTTTCAGACATTTTGTATTTTAATTTACTGGGATTTTGTTAGATATTTTTGTTTTCCTATAAATGTTCATGAAATTTGTTCCAAAATGAAACTGCTACTTAGAAACAGCATTCGATTTCACTTGACAAACAAGAGTTATAAACAAGAGGAAGAATAGAGGATCACATTGGTATTTTTTATTATTATTATTGTGAAAATACCATACAGAGGGGATTACAATTACATGGGCAAGATAGTGAGTACATTTCTTATCAAGCATTGTTGCCTCCTCCTTTGTTTCCCCTTCCTATCCCTTCCCCCTCTATCCCCAGCCCCCCACACACCCCGACCACTATCACCCCACCCCCCCACTCTCCACCCCGCCAAAGTTGTAAAGTTCGTTTTTCGACATAACCTCTTGTACATCTCATCGTTGTAATGGGTCCACATGTAACCCTATTTAAACAGTTTGTTTTTTAAGGACCATGCACAAAGCTGAGTTTATCATTTCAAAATTTCACACTGAGTTCAACTGGAATTTAGATACATTATCTCATCTGCTATAGAGGAGGAGTCTTGGCCATGCAATTGAATTGTGTTCAAAGTGGAAAGAACATAAAGAGTTTGTAAAACACAATTTCTGACACAGATAAGGTTTAATCAGATGCCTGAATAAAGGCTAGAGGTCC